TACTTGCAGAATAATTTATGTGCTTATATTTCTCTATTAATACTAGAAGATAGATTTTCATCGTTCTTATTGCTCTTTTCCTATATTTTTTTTTCAGTCTTATTACACAAAGGAAAATAATTGTGCTACTTAGCTTTTTTTGCAGTAAATGTTGACTTTTGATTAGTCAGATAGTATACAATAATGAAGAATATAAAAATGAGAAAAACAAAAAAAACAAGGCAAAAGACAAGACAAAAAAAAAACCACAATTCTGAATGATATTAGTTGAAAATTATTTGTTTTCTTTACTATGGTAGGATTATACTTTAAAAGATAGCTTTAAAAAGAAAAAAAAGCAAGAAACAGGAGATTAGCTTTTGATTTTTTGTTGTTGATAATGAACTGAATATTTGAGTAATTAAAATGTATCATTAAAAACCGATAAAAAAAAACCTTAGAAATATTAAAAACAAATTTTTTGCTAAAGCACTTGGATATTTTTGATTATGCTACTCCAAATTACTTAATTCTACTGATCAATGAAAACACTGAAAAACTAAGTGATGATTCTTTTCTTCAGTTATTCTTCAGTTTCTTTCTTCTTTTTTTCCTTTTCTTTGCAACAAAATTGGCGTGGCGTTATTAAATCATAGAATTGCTTAGTATTTATGGTTGAATTTGCAATGAATAACAAAAAACCTATTTGCTATTACTGCGGTAATAATGGCAACGGCAACAGAAAACAGCAGCAGCAGCAGCAGCAGGAAACATGAAAAAAACACTCTAAAATTTTTAGTCTTCTCAAATATCCAACTGATGATTTTTTTGGGTGCAGCATAGTCTTTTTTTTTTTTGAACCACTTAATTTAAGTGCTTAACAGCATTGATATATGGCAAAAATTAAGTGCCTAAAAAATAAGCAAAAAAAATCTAACTTTTGTCACCAATTTTTGTTTTTTTTCGCTTTTCTTTGCTTCGTCACTTTACTGCTCCTATTTTTTTTCTGGTTGGTTTCTTAGCTCTTAGTTGTTTACATAATTGGGTAATTTTAGGAGACAATAATTTTTACTATCAATTTCTTTGCTTTGCTATTTTTATTTTTCTTGATTTTAGTTTTAGTCTATTTTTTTCAAATCTTTTTTCATTTTATTTTTTGATTGAACAGCATCTAAGATAGTGAAAAAAAAAAAAAGAAAAGAGCGCTTTTTTTCGATTTTTAGCTCAAAATAGCTCTAAAAGATTTTTACCGGCAAACTACTGAAAAATATTTCACTATTTTTTTCCATTTTTTTTTTTTTGAATTTATTTTTATTTATTTTATCTTGCTGAAGGATAAAAGAAGAGGTGGGGGGGGGGGGGAGAAGGAAAAAAGGCAAGAAAAGAAAAACGAAACAGCAAAGGAAAGCAGAAAAAAAAACAGTTTTCAAGTAATAGCAAAGCAATTTTTTTTTGTTTGATGATCAAAATTGAACTACATCTGCACATATCTAATTATTTGGATTTCTGCTCTGTTCTTCTTTTTTTTTTT